TAGCTACCGCCGGCGGATTCCGCGTGGTCTGGCTGCGAGCTTCCCTGAAGCCCCGTGCTGACCGAACCTGACATTTAGAATGTTCTGTCAATACAGCTGTCAGTTGGAAAGTTGGGGAGTTGATGGCTTAAGAAAGCAGAGAGCAAAGGGGTTGAGAAAGCTGCTGAAAAGTGTCCAAATTGTAGTGCTCAAAAAGTGTGACTCATGGACAGCTGTTTCAGACAATGATTGGCTCACATATCTGTCTGTCACAAAAGGACTGGGCAGTGAGAAGATCACCTCTCATCCAAGCCATGGGAGAAGGGAGCAAACAAATGGGAGAAGGTTGATTTCAGGTAGAAGCATAGAAGAAGGAACAGCCCAGGAGAATACAGTAAATGAAAGTAGATAAAGAAGTTCTTGGCAGGAATCTTAGAGAGAGAAAAAAAGAATTCAAAAAAGAAGAGAATTGCATATGGTGAAAGATCTTAGAACTGAGGATTTAGCAAAGACAGTAGGTGACATATTAACTCTAAAGAATCTGTTTTATTTGATTGTAACTTTTCTCATCTTTGATTCACCTGGCAGCATGCAAAACGATATGGAAATATATACACCATGTTTCTAGGGCATATCCTTGTAGTAGTGCTGTCTGGATTCAAAACTGTGAAGGAAGGAATGACCAGCTTCTCAGAAGAACTCTCTGATCGACCATATGATGCTTTTTTGAATGTTTTAACGAAAGGAAGGGGTAAGTGCAAATAGTAAGGAATTGTTACATAAATAGCCATCACACTATTCCACTTTATGGTAATATTATGCATAGCACTAAAAAAGAATAAGTCAAAGTAAACAAAATGATTTAAAGGCATGAAATAAGCAAAAAAATACTGCTCAATCCACTTTATACCAAATTATTATACATGCCCATAGTTTCTATCTGGTCCTTTACATGCATACATCGATTCAGACATTGCTTCTTTTTCATTAAACCTCTACGTCTTTTTTGTGAGGATTTCATCAACTCCATCCAATTACAACTTTCCCCATCTTCCACTTCCTCTTGAATCCTTCCCTCTTCCTTCATCTATTTGCTTTGCAAATTTGATTTTCAGCAATTCTTTCTATATAACCTACCCATCTAAAGGCACTAATTTCATATTGACCATCCACATATGCATTCAATCTACCTTCATTGATCACCTATCCATTCTTGACCCTGTCTGTTTTGGTTTTACCAAATCCACTTAAATATATATGCCTTGAAGTCACCCACACAACTAATACATTCACAAAATGATATAAGAAAACATTATGCCAACTCCTGTTGCATCTGGTTTATAAAAAGTAAATTCTTCAATAAAGTTATATTTAAGTAATATTTGAAAAAATAAGATAAATATTACTCATAGTTATTCATGATTTTATGAGGACATACTCTTATTACATTTAGTGATCAATTCAACAAAAGACTGAGTTACTAGAAAATAATCTGAGAAGAGCTCAGATTAGAAGGTGAGATACGTATAAGATGGAATGAAAAGGGTAGGGGTTAAACAGGTGAACTAGTTTGGGGGTTTTGTGGTATGGGCCAGATTTCTATGGTAATTGGCAGAGGGAGGTATGATGATTAGAAATGGCCATGCCAGAATAACTGTGACCAGCAATTTGGTGCAGGTTCCCATTTCTGGACCAGTATCTCTTGGGGGTATGGGGATCAGACTGCTAGTAGCTTTGCTCTCAGGCTATTGTTGGTGAATATTAGGTCTATCTGGAATAAGACCTCATCCATACACAATATAGTGGATGATGAACAACCTGACTGGGCACATTTTACTGGGGAACATAAGGGCTGGGGTTTTCAATGACCAAACCTGTGGATGGGTCCAGTGCTGCTTAGAAATTATGGTCCCTGTGGCAACCATGGGCTTCTCCCCGATTATATCAGCCCCAACTCATATTGGCAGTTACATGATAGACGTAATATTCACCCAATAGGATACTGTATGGTGCATGACCTGGAAATGGAAGACATTGTTATCAGCCTCGTTTCAGTGGTCAGTTGACTTCTCAGTCAAGCTGCAGGTTACTGTCATTTATAGCAGCCTAGTTAAAATGGTCAACTGCTGATAAATCTGAAAGTTTCAATATGTTAAGTATTTATTGACTTCATCATTTGTTTAATTTTTTCAATTATTAATTTATTTATTGGTTTCATACCCCACCATAATCAGTTAACTTACAGCAACTTACGATGATTACAAGATGACAATTTAAACATCTACATAAAATGCCAACGTAAATGACAATAAAAAAGAGAACGAAACAATAAAATTGACACAATAAATTAAGCCAATAAAATCATGAAATGTTGGTTCTTGATAGCTTCCTAAAGCCAGTAGGGAGTGGGCAAATCATTGCAACATAATTCCAAAGAAATTGCACAGAAAAGCAGCATTTGGGTAACATTATGAATTCATTCCTTTTTAAAAATTTAATGGCCATTTGGTTTTTAGAGTCTTATGTTAATGCAGAAATTTGGCTTTTACTTTTTCAATCTGTCAGCTAATAATTTTGAATTTTTGTAATCAACTTCATAGCATTTTTGTTTTCAACACCAAGTGCTAAAGTGTGTGTCTATGTGTGTGTCTCTGTGTGTGCATTATCCTTCTACATTTTAAGCTGTCTCTCTTCCCCTCTGGAATACTTCCTTCTATGAATACATGCAATATAACAATTTCCATGCGAAATTGAATTATAAATTTGATTATTTTGCAGGGAAAAAACTTCATCTTACCCTCATTTGGAATATATAGTGAAGCAATGGTGAATCATTATTATTTCATTTCCTTTTAATAAATATATTCCTCCTTTTTTCTAAA